AAATATAATAAAATTAATTTAAATAAATTTTATGGTTTCTATCTTTCCATGAACTTGGAGAATATAAACTACCAGTTAGATCCTGATATTAACTATGGCATAATTCAAAGAGTAAATTCAATTTCCAAAGAACTATGAGATAGCATAAATGCTACATTTGCAGGTTATATAGCAATACAGCAATACTGATGGACACAGTGGTTTATACTTATAATCTCGGCACTGGAAAGACAAAGGCAGAAATACTGCACGGTCCATTCTAGGTCAGCCTGGACTACACAGCAAGCTTTAGCTAGCCAGGCCTCTATGGCAAGACTACCCTAAAACAAAACAGCAGCAACACAAGACTGTAAGACTACAAATAAAATGTAATGATTCAATTTTTTAAAAATGTAATTTATATATATTTGCTGAATTTATAAACTGTTTGACAAGAAAGTTTTCCTGAAAAACATGAATGAACATTAGACAGAAAATGAATTGTTTCATTTATTCTCCAACTTGATTCAAACAACAAACTCCATTTCTTAGTCAGCTACCACCAGTAAGGCTTTAATACCCAGCGTATGATGAGAGTTGAAACCAAGTGTGAACAACTTTCTGGTCCCATGAGTAGGCTGACTGCTGAAGCTGTCAGGTTCAATTGCATCACCCCACATTATTCAATGCCCCAAACTATTCCCTAATTGTTAGGAGATTAATGTATTCAAAACTATTGTTTAGGCTAATGCTGATACGCTCCAGAATGGAGTTCCTAAGAAGGAGGAGGATTAAAGTGTACTTAAACCATCATTGAACACTCATGATTGGGACAGCAGGACTGGAAAGAATAACCAACCCATTCTAAGTAGGTTTGTTAATTGGTTATATCTAACTGATGTTATCCCTTATCTTTTGGGAGAAAATGGTGGAATTTTAAAAACATGAAAAATTAATGGTATGCCTATAGGAACTAATTTATAACCTGTACCTATGATCCAACAAAGAACAACACATCATTAACAATAACATTTTCACATTCCAGTAGTGTGAAAGAACTAGTTATAGCTATTATTGGTGTATTATAGATAAGCCACTATGTAGTGAGTTTTAAATCAATTATGTGTAAAACCAATTACTCTAAAAACAAGCATAATATACCAAATAAAATGATTTAACACTTAAGAATATAAAATTGAGCTAATAAGCAGTTTTGTACAAAACTTTTTTTTTTTTGGTCAAATTTGGGCTGCTAATTATCAGATTTCAATTCCTCAACATAATTTTACAAGTGTCCTTTTCCTCTCTTAAAAGCCCAAATCAAGCTATTAGTTTGATGTCTATTAGTGTGCCCTGAATTTTACCTCCTTTATCACTTCCCTATGTGATAATTTCCAAGACAGCAAATAAGTCAAAGAGTCCTATTTACTTTACTGACACTGAAGAGCAGATGAATAAGAATGACCCCGGACTTTTGTTCTAGTACCAACTCAACCACGGAAACTTAAGTGACTGCATTAAGTCTTATGGGGAAGAGATGACATTATTCGTCTTTTTTTTTTTTGGTCATTTTGAGACAGGGTCTCTCTCCCTGCAGCCCCAGTTGTTCTGGAACTCACTATGTAGACCAGGCTGGCCTTGAACTCACAGAGATCTGCCTGCCTCTGCCTCCCGAGTGCTGGGATTAAAGGCGTGCACCACCACGCCCAGCCATTATTCACTTTTCTATTCTACATACACAGACAGCTGCCTGCTAAAGTGTGATGATTTTCTTTTTTCCTTTTGGTGGTTCTCCTTTGTGAACCCAGATCCATGTTCATGCTGGGCAAACATGGGGTGTTTATGACAATTGTGAGATGAGTTTTAGAGTCATGTTTTAATTGCTGATAATTTCTACCTACCCACTTAACTTACAAAACTGTTCTCTTCATTTTAACTACTATGTAAGTAAAATGCTAAAATGCAACCACATTCACACAATATATTGTTAGGTTTGGACGTCAAACAAGACTTACATAAGAGTTAAACATAAATGAACTTTGCCATTTGTGGGGGAAAGATTCAATTATCAATTTTCAGAGTGCTCTTAATTCTATCAAAATATTTTTGTATCCTTTCCCACACACACTGCCTAGAAGATTTCACATTTTCACATTCAACACCATTATTATTGTCTTAGACAGCTAAATTGAAGTAGATCTGTACTCAGTTCAACTAAGAGGTCGCCCTGCCTCAGTTGCCTGGAGACTGATGGTTGCTACAGCAGCACCAGTTAAGCCAGGCTAAAGAAGCTGCAGCTTCACGTGGAGAGTGTTCACTGCCAGGCAGACACACAGATGCAGTGGCCTCATTCGAATCTAACTGGATGGGCACATTTACAAAATATGGAAAGGGGATAAAAAGTAAAGATTTTAATTGGCTTGAATCCTAGATTATTTACAATCACCATTTCTTTGTTCTTCACTTGAGTCACATGTCTAGTGGAATTTTCCCTCTAGCTATAAAATTCTCTTTGCTATCACTCCCTCAATCCACCTCTCCCTAATGCCAGCCCCCAAAACCACTAACATAAAGAATGAGAAGAAATGAGATTTTGCTTAATTCAGCCTGGAATTAACCAGAATAATTATGACAGACTTTTATAAAGACAGAGAAGAAAATGTACATTGAAAATGTTTGTGTGAGACTTGGTCCAAGGGTATAAAGCTATCAAACAGTAATGGTTATACTTAATTGAAAGAGATAAAACTACTTATGAGAGTCATTCTTGCATTTATCCTTTCACTGTCTCCAACCAGGCCCTATTATTCTCATCACCTCACTTTTCTGATGAAAGAAGATAAAGTAAACCCTTCTAAAGTGATCAAACTACTCTTATTCAAGTTGAGAGATTCATCAAATAGTTCATTTTTATTTCCAAAGATAATACTACTAATCATACTGATTTCCTAACACTTGGCTTATTTGTAATGGTGATTGTTTACACTATACCATCCATACACACATGGCATTAAAATAACCTTGTTTTGCTTTGATAATACTGCTTACAGAAAATACTAAGTACAGGCATATTCTAAAGTCCCATACAACAGACATTTTGCACACACACACACACACACACACACACACACGTTCAGTATTTTTTCTGTTTCTGTTGTGTATAAGAACAATCAAACCTAGAGGCTAGGCAAGGGCTCTACCCACAAAAACCAAGTTACAGAAATTTATAAATGCCTACTAAATTAGTTGTTTATATATTCTCAGTAAATCATTACGGCTGATTTCTTGAAATGTTACAATATCTACTATTAGGGCTTTGGAGAAATGTAAATAAAATTATAATGAAGTAAGCTGGGCATAGTGACACACATACGTAATCTCGGCACATGGTAGATGGAGGTAGGGAGGACCAGGAATTCAAGGCCATAAAGTTTGAGGCAGCGAGGGCTACTACCTTGTATGTCTACACAGCTTTCCCCATTGAGTTACTGTCCTAGCTAAGGTCTAAGATTACGGTTTGGTTTTGCTTATTATTACTCTCTTGCCTTTTTTTTTCTTTTTCTTTTTCTTTTTTTGAGACAGGGTCTCCCTGTAGTCCCAACTGGCCTGGAATTATGTAGATCAACCAGGCTGGTCTTGAACTGACAGATCTGCCTACCTCTGCCTCTCAAGAGCTGGGATTACAGGCATGTGCCACCACACCCGGCCTTCTCTCTTGCTTTTTAAACATTCCTATCACCAGGTCTAGTGGAGCAGGACTTTAATCACAGTTACTCAAAAGGCTGACACAGGAAGACCACAAGTTTAAGGCTACAGAGTGAGGTCTAGGACCCTGTCCCCAACTTAGTGGGGCCCTGTCTCTGGAAATACAGCACAGTAGTAGAGTACTTGCTTGGCATGTGGAAGCCCTAGACACAATCTTTAGCACTGAAAAATAAAATAAAATAAAGTCCTATAGTCAAGGCTATTAACTTACAGATCTTTGGTGTGGCAGGAAAGAGAGATAATTTGGAAAAATGCATAATATTTATAAACATTTATCATTTCTCACTGGAAAGAAAGCCTTGCAATGTTTAAACAGATTCTTTACTTCTTATCCTATATTTGCCCATGTTGGTTTAAAAATTTGGACAAAAGGTTTTCAAATACTATTTGTGCAGCTTTAAAGATTCATTTTACAAGTATGAGGTTTTGCCTGCATGTACACTGCATGCAGTGCCTGCAAACACCAGAAGAGGGAGTTGGATCCCCTGGAAGTGGAGTTACTGATGATTATGACGCTGGGAACCGAACTTGAGTCATCTAGAAGAGGACAAAGTGCCTGTAAGTGCTGAACCATCTCTCTAGCCCTTAAACGTTATTTTTTTTTTTTTAATCACAAAAGTCCAAATTGGCTCATACTTTTTTATTCCATTTTTTTTATTTTTGTTTGTTTGTTTTGGGATAATGTTGTATGTAGAGTACTGAGATTACAGGTGTGCACTGCCATGCCCAGCACAGTTCTAAATTTTTAAAGACAATAAAAGCTCCCCCAAATTACAGTATTACACTATCAGGACAAAAGGAAAAACCTAGAAACTGAAAAGAACCAGTTGCTGCCCAATGCTCCTCTGACGCCTTCTTACGAAGATCACTTCCTGACATGTAACTATAAATTCAGACAATTCATAGACTCCAACAGAAAGCTCTATATCCTTTGTCTCCTCCAACTGCTTAAAGAATGACAAGGCTAGGCAAAGCCCCTTCATTAACTGTAATACCGTACCTGAGTTGTGGCAGCAGCAGGGGTGACAGATGATGTAGCTGAGGGGGAGAGAGCTCCCACCTGTTGCAAATGCCCAGATGACTGCTGAGGTAAGTGGGAACTAGAGACAGGAGTGCTAGATCCTGAGCCAGACACTACACTGGGAAAGGACACGGCTACATCACTGCTGTTATAAATACCTGCAAGCAAAGAAATTTTATTTCAATATTTTGTAATTTAGCAGTCAGATTTGTCATTGATAAATTAAGGTTTCTCCTTGATCCCTCCCCTAATAAGAAATGTTGGTGTTAAAAATGCACTAGAATAAGTAAATGAACACCAACTTTTCATAAAATACTTGTCAAAAGGACCTAAGTCACTTTTTACTTCGCAAATATTTTTGTTAAAAAAAAAAGTAGGAGTTTCTAAGAATAGGTTTCCAAAACAGGAGAAAGCAGCAGCTCAGAGCTGCATTTTTAAAAATCGCATATTAAGGGCTGGAGAGAGAGCTCAGCACTTAAAGAGCACTGGCTGTTTCTTGCAGAGCACCTGGGTTCAGTTCCCAGCACCTACATAGCAGCTAACAACTGCTTCTAACTCTAGTTCTAGGGGATTCAACGCTCTCTTCTGACTTCCAACGGCATCCCATGACATGGTGCATTTGCACACATGCAGACAATACAATCATACACACAAGATAAAAATAATAAAAAAGGGCTGGGTATGGTGGTACGCGCCTTTAATCCCAGTACTCAGGAGGCAGAGGCAGGCAGATCTCTGTGAGCTCAAGGCCAGCCTGGTCTACGTAGTGAGTTCTAGGCCAGCTGGGGCTACTTGAAGACCCTGTCTCAAAAAAGACCAAAAAAAAAAAAAAATCATGTGTTAAAGCGTTCAGAATGCTAGGCCCTAGAAATCAGGACTGAGAAGCTATGACATTGGAAGCAGCATCATTGGAGAAAGGTCATGATGCACAAAATAGAGTTAAACAGGACTGGATTTGTCACCCAGTGAAAGAAGACTGCTGGCCATCACGTGACAGCTGTGAGAACAGAGGCTTGCTGCGTAGCCAGCTTAGATGAGAGCTCTGGGTTCAGTGAGAAACCCTACCTCAAAGGAGTAAGTTAGTGATAGAGCAGGACAGCTGACTTCCTCCTCTGGTCTCTCCAAGAGGACACATGTGAACCTACCTGGACACATACACGCATGATAAAATGCACCACACACACATACTCACGTGTGTACATGCTCCTAGAGAAGGGCTTTTTAAGGATAGAAGAGACGGGACCATCTATTAAGTAGTACCCTTCAACCAGGGGTGACTCTGCCTGAAGACATCTATCGAAACGGAATGCTACTGGTATAGTAGTAGGTAGAGGCTAAGGATCTTCTACCGCAAGGATTTGTTTATCTTCTCTAGGACAACAAATTACCTGGCCCAGAGCACTGAGGCATATGGAGGCTCCATCCTGATATAAACGAAGGTAGAAGGAGGGAGGGAAGTGGGTCCAGAGAACCTGGCACTTAAACAGCACAAAAGCAGGACACAATGAACGTAAGTGGGCTGTGGTTAAAACAATTTCTTAAGGGCTGAGGTGAAGTCTCAGTTGGTAAAGTGCTTGCTGTTTGATCCCCAGAACCCACAAAGAGAGAGACACAAGTGCTTGTAATCTCAGTGATGGTGAGGTAAAGAAAGGAGGCCCTCTGGTGCTTGCTGACCAGTAAGTCTAGACACTAGATTGGTGAGTTCCTGGTTCAGTGGGAAATTTCAAAAATTAAGGTGGAATGACAGAGAAGACACTATCAATCTCTGGCTTCCACTTGTAAACACACGATACATGCATGCACGAACACACACACACACCCATGGCGCGCATACAAACACACATGCACACAAATTCATGGCTACATACACTTACAAACTTTTTAGAAACTATACCTCTAGAAGACAATTATAATTAATAAGTTGTATCAGTTTATGGTATGAATTACTTAGTTCTAAAAAACGTAAATTTTGATTCATATTTATAAAAACACATATAACATTCTTCTAACAAGGGAAATAAAATAATCAGGACACTTTAAAAAGCTTACATTTAGAATTTGGGTTCCTGTATTTTTTTTTTTTGTATCAACAGTTTCTACAGGAAAAATGATTTATTCATTCTGCAAATACCTGAGAACTCACTGTTTGCCAGGCATTACTCTAAGCCCCAGGCAGCACTATGTAAGATCTATGATCTCTGCCTTGAGAAAGCTGGCAGAGGAGACAATGCTATGACTGTGAGAAGCAATGGAGACTGTCTTAAAGGTGAAATGGGATGAGTGCAGAGAAGAGATGTCCAGCCCAGTGCTGGGTGCCTGAGGGTGGGAGTCACAATCTACTCCCTAGAAGAAATGGTGCTTTTAAAGCTGATTTCTAAAGAAAGATGGTTTGAGAAAGAAACATGCAACAGACAGGGAGGTTAAAACCTAAGAATGTTTAAGTACCATTTACAGAGCTTACATAATAAATAAAAAAGCACAGAGCAAACCACAAACGATGGAAGTTAAAATATTCAATTTTAGAGACCACAGGGAGTCACCGAAGGATTTTAAGCAGAAGCCTATGTGATCAATATTGGGGATTAAGTAAAACATCAATCATTGGCAGGAGACTGAGAGAACGCTGTCAAAGGTTATCACATTACTGGTGACAAAAACAGGGACTCAATTAAGTCAACAGTAGTGAAGAGATGCTACAAAAGCAAACTTCATGGGACCTGGTGACTACTTAGACCTGAAAAATAAAATGAGCGAAGTCTACAATAATCCCCTTAAGCACCTGAAAGTGGGACCGGGAAGAAACATTCATTGACGCCAGATGGCAACAGAAACCAGTATTTGCTAACAGCTCAATAAGCTGTGTATTGCCCTCGTTTTACAAATACAAACCCCCCCCACCCCGGAAGTTTAAATAAATAAAGTGACTCCTCAGCTAGCTGCAAGGGCAGCCAGCAAAACAGGAAAGGACAGCAAACGCTGAGGTGTGGGCAAAGAGGAGGGCCCACTCCCTGCTGATGGAAGTTAAGTGAGCAGTCACTATGAAAATTAGGAGATTCCTCAAAAATCTAGAAGCTGGGCCGGGCCAGGCATGGTGGTGTACGCTTTTAATCCCAGCACTTGGGAGGCAGAGGCAGGGGGATCTCTGTGAGTTCAAGGCCAGCCTGATCTACATAGTGAGTTCCAAAAGATAAATAAATAAATAAATAAATAAATAAATAAATAAATAAATAAAATATAATGTTAAATGAAATAAGCTGGGGGCTGGGTGAAAGCTCAGCAGTTCAGAGCACTGGCTGCTCTTGCAGAGGACCCAGGTTTGGTTCCCAGCACCCACATGGTAGCTAACAACCACCCATAACTCCAAGTCCAGGGGATCCAATGCCTTCCTTTGATCTCCATGGCACTGTACAACATGGGTGCACTTACATACATGGAGGCAATATACCCACCCATACACATAAAATAAAAATAAGTATTTTTAAAAATGAAGTAAGTTAGACTCAGACAAATATCGTAAGTTTTCTCTTATGTGAAGACCTTAGATTTAAAATTAATGTTTGTATATGCAAGTATATGGAAAAAAGAAATAAACCAAGAAACTTGATCAATGGCCTAGAAGGTAGCAGAATCATGATTAGAATTCACAGCTGATTCTATGATAGAATAACATTTCAGGTTCAGGGTCATCATGGTCTTCAAGATTCCAATGGGACATAGGTGCCTACATATCCTAGAACATAACCCTGAAGTTCAGTGAAAAAAAAAAAAAAATCTAGTGTGGGACCGAAGAGATGGTTGAGTGATTAAAGAGTATTTGTAGCTCTTCCAGAAAACCAGACTTCAGTTCTATCCCCCACATCAGGTGGCCCACAATTGCCTATAACTCCAGCTCCAGATCTGGTATTTCTAGCCTCCAGAGGCACCTGCATTCTTACATGCACATACATACACACAAATATTTTTTAAGGTGTAGAGGGTGGATCAGCAGATAAAGATACTTGGCAACTTGAGTTCAATTCTCAGAACCCACATAAAAATGGAAGGAGAAAACCAACTCCACGAAGGAAGTTGGACCTTCCACAACTGTACTGTGGCACAACTGTAATGTGTCCTCACCTCCCTCTACTCCCCCACAAACAACAATAACAAGATCAACACATTTAAAAAACAGCATGGAAACACAAATCTCAGAGCCAGAAGCACAGTAAGAGTGAATAATCTTGCAAACTCAAAAAACTGACTTCCTAGTTTGAGGTCAGCCTGTACAACACAGTCAAGGGCTTCATGGTGAAACCCTGTGTCCAAAACAAAACAAAACAAACCAGACTTCCTGTTGGCCATGCTAAGTTTTTAACTACTGATCATATAATGTAAGTATACAAATATCACAATGAAAACTAAGTTTTTAGGTTCTACTTAAAACTGAAGATCTGGGCTGAACATGGTGATGCAGGCCTTTAATCCCATCCCTCTGGAAGCAGAAGTAGATGGATCTCTGTGAGGCCAGCCTGGTCTACATATCAAGTTCCAGGCCAGCTGGGGCTACAGGGAGACCCCGTCTAAAAAACAAACAAACAAAAACAACAACAATCCCTCCCTCCCTCAAATATCCCTGAACAAAATAACACAAAAACCCCCCACTAAATATCCGAAAAGGCAACAATCTGGCTGGAGTTATGGACAGGGCATTAACTCACCTGAATCCCTCCCCATCCCTCACTATGTTATTCACTTGCCCCTATGAATAAGATTTCCCACTCCTGGTATAGACAATGGTCAAAGCCAAAGAACAAAAAATTACATCACCTATGGAAAGTCCTTCACATAATCAGGAAAAGAGGGCCAAAAACAAAACCAGGGGTAATATATATATTTTTTTTTTGGTCTTTTTTAAGACAGGGTCTCCCTGTAGCCCCAGCTGGCCTCCAACTCACAGAGATCTGCCTGCTTCTGCCTCCCCGAGTGCTGGGATTAAAAGAGTGTGCCACGCCTGGTGTAATATCATTATTTAAAGAGTAGACAAAAATAACTCTAAAGATAAACTTAGAAAATGAGAGTTCTTGTAAACACTAAAGAAATTCCAACAGAAAAGGTCAAGTATATCTACTGGTCTTTTAAGTCCAGAAAAAAGAGCCATTTAAGTATAGCAGTAACTCTC